GAAAACAAGGTCAAACAACTTCTATACAATGAAAGGAGACTGCGACCATAAAAAAAGACCATACCATCTTGGTCTTCATACTTTCACCTTTTCTTAGTTCATACCGAATTTTCTATTTCGTTTTAGTCTTCTCCGTTCCTTCGCGATTTATAGCACAATATTCACTTCTCCTCACCTCACTGACCCAGAAACCTCCACTCTCCAATCCAGCCTGCAAACTTCACACAAAGGTTACTGTGTCTACGCCGCAAGCCCGGACAGAAAGCACTTCACATTGGCCGGGTTGGACGGGAAATTGGAGCTCTACTCCTGCTTTGCAGGTAAGCTATCGGGATCAACCTGCTTATTTTCAGGATTATAAATGGCTGAACCATGATCAGGCTAACCAGAAAAAACAGTTTCTACTCAAGCAGCTTGCTCCTGTCCCGAAAACTCGCCATCCCAGGTCTCTAAGCCTATAATGTGCATTTGTACAGCATAAAAGGCCATGTAAAGAGACGCTAACTATAGTAGATGAAGAGGTATCTAGAATTAAGTAAATGGACACTGATAGACTTTGATCATGACGACGATTCATCGAATTAGTATGTTTGTGAACTGAAATAAAAACTAGTCTGGAAGTGGGTTGAACTCGTTTTCGCCACATGGTTTTGTGGTCAGGGCCACTTAGTTGGGCACACCTTGTCCGAAGCCTTCTGCCATATTAGTTTTCACAATTCCCAGCGTCAGACCGTGTACTTGGTACACTCTCAGACGTTTCGCCGGCATCGTAGTCGGCATCATCAGTGAGTTTTGTCATTCTCAGCACCAAGCTACATCGCGTCAGAGACAAGTGAAGTCAATCCCTTGACTTCTCGAAATTCTCCTCTAATTTGTTAGTGTATATGCTTGCCAACAGAGGTGAGAGCGGTGATCTCATGGGAAGTCCTAATATTTGTTCATAGATGGCGAATGTGAAATAGGTTGTTCTTATTGCCAAGTTGATTAATCGTGTTAACCAATATCCCCCTATCGGTCCAAGATCTCTATAAGAACTATTAGCGTTTTTTCTCCAGAGGTATTTGTATGCATGGATTGTATATCAAAATTTACCAATACATGTTTTTGATTCTTTGAAAAAATTTATATGAACGTTTCACTATGCTTCATTACGTATTATTTATTTTCTTGAGTCCCAAACATGAACTTTGCCAATTCGTGTGTTGCTCCATATTTTTTCTGTTGACTCTTAGCCTTGGTGGCTTTCCTTTGTGTAACTTTGGTAACTCGTCGGCTGTTGGTTATCATGCATCCTTTTTAATTAGTGAATTTATTGTCCATCCATTTATCTGCCTTTTCCTATGTGTACCTTTCAGCATGTCACGTAAGCTTCCATCGATCTTCATAGTTAAATCCTTGTTTAGTACACGATATGTGATCCTGGCTCGCAGTATACATTTCATATTCTCGGTATATTATTTTTTGTCCATTATCACTGTCGCTCCTCCTTTATCCACCGGAAGGACTAATTGTTCATCCATTTCTAGGGTCATGTGTATCCTGGCAAATCTGTTCCTCTTCGAAGATACACAAAGAAGGCGAACCACTATGGCTGATAGGCAACAACGAATATGAAGCAACACACAAATTGGCAGAGTTCATATGTTTGAGACTCAAGAAAATAAATGACAGCTTATAAAACAAAGTGAAACATTCATATGAATTTTATCAAAAGGATCAAAAACATGGCACTGGAAAAAACATATTCATTGGTAAAATTTGATATACGATCTATGTATACAAACATCTCTGGAGAAAAGACGCTAATAGTTATGCTAGAGATCTTGCACTAAAAGGAGGATATCCTGGAAGCAGAGAGGGTCCGATGGTAGTCGCTAACGTGACTAATCAACTTGGCAACTTTACATTCAACGGAAACATTTACAAATAAACATTTGGGCTTTCTATAGGATCTCCGCTCTTACTTCTTTTGGCAAATGTCTATATGAACAAATTAGAAGAGAGCTTTAGTATGTCACTACAGCAATTAGGAATGCCCATGCGGTATCTTGACGACTACTTCGTTCTCTGGTCGCATGAAAGAGAAAAATTGGCGATTTTCCCGAAGACTATAAACTTATTTGATGAAAGAATAGAGTTGAAACTGGATTCAGAGGATTATGGGCATTTACTACTCTTGTATGTCGAAGTAATTTGCTTTAGTGGGACACTAAAAATATGATCAGAAAAAAGTCATTTGCCGAAATAATACAATTTTTTCAGTCCCATCACAACTGCAGGCTTAAGATAGAGATAATAAAGAGCATGATCATCAGAGTAACGAATGTAGAATTCTGGGATGAAGAATAGAAAGAAATGACTTGGATATGCCTCGGCAACTGTTAGCCAAGTGAAGTAATAAAAAGAAAGATACTGCTGTAAAAAGCCGATGATAGAACGGGGATTATTAAAGAACAGTGAGGACGGAGTAAGAATTACTAAAGTGGATACACTAACCTTCCTGTGAATCAACTCAAAAACTTTGTCCGATATTAAGAAAATGGAATATTGAGTTGAAGACGAGAGAAAAAACAAGACTTTTCACAAGCCTACCGACACAACATGAGATGGTGGAAAAATAGGATTGCTCACAAGTTTACTTCATAGCCTGTGGCGCCTGCGAACGAATACAGACGAGAAAAACCAACATGCGAATCAAGGAACATCAAAGGCTCCAGGAAAATGGATACCGAAAGATGAGAATTAGCGCAACACGTCGCACAGACTGGACACGAGATCAATTGGAAGACAACCTAAAGCAGAGTCCCAGACAATAAAAGCACAAGAAAACGGAAGATTGTGGAGGGTAGTGCCATGCTTAAGAAAAAAGCAGAAGATTGGAGGAAGCTGGAATTGGCGATAACGTTGCCTACCGCTTAAGCGGACTCGAGGAGAACAGGAATGCAACAAAACCGGCAAAAAGGAGATGCCTGGATCAAGGAGCTGTGGTTGATCAGAGGAAAAGGGATTGTGAGGAAGAATTGGGTGGAGACATTTCGGAAATCAAGCCAAGACGCTCTCCGTGAGTGATGTCTGTTGGAGGAAACTGGTGCTACTTCGGAGTCCTGGCAGTCAGCAAACTAGGCAGACGGATAAGCACAAGCGTCACGGAAATTCGGCATTATGGCCAAAATGTACCGGAAATCTACTTGACATGCCACAGTCGTCCAGGACTGGGGATGGGCATGCACATTTTGCTCAAGAAACACGCGTTTAATGAACGAGACGACCTGCGTAGGCAATGCCTGATCTCTGCAAGCATGGCAATCCCAGTCTAGGCGCTGGATGAATCCGGTCGACCAGAACGATGAGCAACGGATCTACGGGAGCAGGAGGCAGATCCGGATTGGAGGATCGTGTCGGATGATCCCATCAGGAGAGGAGGGGTCGGGATGAATGGTAGGTGTGATGAGGCCACACTGAAAAAAATGTAGCAAGTGAGAAGTTGTGATAGGGCGGCAATGGGATAAGAGGGTTAAGAGTAGATAGATGGGCCAGGACGGAAAAAGGAGCGAGAGTGTGTCCGGTTTCGGCACAACGTTGGTCGAGGGATTGACGTCACTTGTCTCCGTGACGGGTTCGTAGCTTGGGGCGTAGAATGGCAAAACTGACTGTTGATGTTGGCGAAACGTCTGAGAATGTACCAACTCCACGGTCTGGTGCTGGGGATTATGATAACTACTATGGCAGACGACTTTGTACAAGCTGCGTCCAACCAAGTCGCCTTGACAACAAGACCAAGTTGTAAAGCGAGGGCAACCAACTTGTATACATCGAAAGGAGCCTGCGACCACACCGAGGGCCACACCTTTTACTTCATATTTTCGGAAAAACTTGTCTGGCTGAAGACGCGACCCTAGAAATTCCATTTTTTAAAGGCTGGCTAAAAGTTTGGTTCTGAGGAATCTCCTGATTGAGCTCAATTCCATTTCGCGTCAAAGGATTCGATCATGAGATTTGGAGGTGGATTAGACTATAAAATGACGGCGGATATCTCTTGACAAGCAGTCGATTGACTCCATTGGAACATTCTTGGTTTCGCTGTTTTTGAGGCAATCTCCTTCGATTCCAGCAAAAGACGTGCCCAGCATTCGTGCTTTGTTCCTTATGTTTTTAGAGAGAATGCACTGAGACAAAAGATGGGAAAATATGTCCCAATATATCTATCTTTATGTATTCAACATTCAGGAAGGTTTTCTTTATTACTTTAATGTTATTTTCGATCAAAACTAAGGCATAATTGTTCGTAGTAATATTAGTTTGAGCCATCCAGTTCATCATCACTATGGTCTTATGCTCCGTCTAATCATATATTTT